GTGCGAGTAGTTTCCTTAAAGCATGTAATATTGTGTAGCAAAAGCATACAATTCCACTAGATGCAAGAACATGCGAACTGCGTAACGTGTGTTTGGCTTGAAGACGCACCAATTAGAATGTGAGTGATCATACATGGGAAGAGCAACATTTTGGCTTCAAGTACTGTACGGGGAAGTTTCGAGAGAGCACTGCAGCAGATACGACAAAATTCTTTAGTGACATGAGTAGCTTCGGGCCTTATGAAGCAAATGATGATCCTCTAGCAGCTTTTGGCATAATCTGACTACCGCAACTGATTACTAGTGAGTGCAATTGGTGCGTACGAAGAAAGGCCACAAGAATACCCAGCCGGAAATATGTTTGCTTAGGTGTGCTCCGCGTGTTTTGAGTGATGTTGGTGAAGCGGAGACGTTCTGACTTTAAAGTAAAACACCCGTGAAAGAACGTCTGTGTGGCCTCCTGTGTATGACACATCACCACTGTTCAATACGATCCCGACTAATATACGAACACGATTCGGAGGCATTTGTGGCGCTTGCTTCTCAGTGAGAACAAGTTTCCCTGCCTGCACCTTTTAAATTTGAAATTTGCTTATTTCACATTGCGACACATTCTGAAGCACGTCTACACTACACAATGTCCTCAAATATATGCGCAACGGACCATTCCCACAATTACAGCGCAGCGCGAGAAGCGGCACTTGCAATGCACGATATAGACCTGTGACTGGAAAAGTATGGGGACGAAGAGGTGATGAAGAAGTAGGGGTTGTGGGGCGCTGAAAACCTGACGCCGTAAATAAACGAATGACGACGGATATGTCGGCATGAAACGGATTCTCTTTATGCCACGCCATCCGCTGAGTCAGTGACGACACTGATTCTGCACGGCACAGCGGTGGACAGGCTTCCTTCTTCAGTCATTTTAATGGGCATAATACGAGGGCGTATAAGTTAGGGCACGAAAAAAAGAAATAGATACAGGAATTCAGATGAAGAAAAATAGCAGGCATTGCAATCAAAGTTGCGGAGGAGAATAAAGGAGTGAGTTTCTATTTCAGTGTTTTGTGCTGAGTGAGGGGGAGGGAACGAGTGGTCTTTGAGATATAAAAAAGAAAATGAGAGTCGTAAACAGTTCTACGAAAAAAAAAAGTGGAAGGAATCATGCTTCCTCATATGAAACCACATCCGCTGAAGCATATCAGCAGTTTTTTTGTTTTTTTTCCCTCTATCTTATATGCATTTTATTTTCTTGCGCAGTATGAACGTTCGTGCCAGTCAATATTGCTCATTTTATCGCTTAGACATTCAAACTCCAGTGGCCAAAATCAGATGATTACCCTGAATGTGTTCCTAAAGGGGTAGCCGTAAACCTTTTCCATGAGACATAGTGCTCAAGGAAAATGGCTAGAGAAAAAAAAAAGCTTTTCGTTTGATGTCTGCGTCTACTGTGATTTATGTAGCTAGCATCCATTGGATCAAAAAGCGAAACAGAGTACAACGCTTACGGCACACAATTTATGTAAGTGAATTTTGTGGTGTTATCTTGTTACCGCGAGGCATTCCAATAGACAATACAGTTATATACCTATATTAGTGACGCGTGCAGTTACGAATTGTTCCGCATAACATACGATGATTAAAATCGCCTGTTTGTTACCCCCTGCTACCTCTTAGTATCGTTAGAAAGTATTCTGTGCACAAATAAAAAAAGGAAATGACACTGCTATGAATTATTTACATATCAAAGTAATTCACTTCACTTCGGAGTAGCATAACTACCGTAGCACGAGTTCCTTGCCTGTAGTTTTTAGTGTATATATTAAATCTTCGCTTTATTGCAATGAACTTTTTCATATATGTAAGGGCACATAAAAATAGGAGCTAACTCCTTCGCGGCTACCCTTGGCAAGCTATCAGCTCCATGCTGTAATTAAAGAGGGAACTGCAGTAGGAAAAAAGGAAAAAAAAATATTGTCACGTTACAAAACTGAGGCAGTAGTAGTGCTAAGCCTGGAGTAAGTTCGGACCTAGGTGACCCTTCTTATTTCTTTTTATTTTTTTGCTTCTTCCTCTCTTTTTTTGTCCTTTTCTCTGTTTTCGCTGTCGCAGATTCTTGACCTGTTTATTTATAGTTCATCCTTTTTCTTTCTCTGCCTATTTCTTTCTTGTTCTTGCTCCCTTCTTTATTCTCTCTCTGTTTATCTTTTCATCTTTCTTCTCTCTCTCCATAATTTTTTCTCTCTTTCTCTTTATTTTTCTGTCTGCTGTTTCACTACATCTTTTTCGTGTGTCTCCTCTATATATAATTTTCCAGTCTTTTTCAGCATGTCATTCCTTTATACGTTTCTCTATTTGTGTCTGTCTTTCTTGCTCTTTCTCTCTATAGGATATGTTCCAATACTCACCGTAGACGGCTAAATTGACAGCTAAATGAACGGTGGCCATCTTAACTCCCATTCTAATTCTCACGTAGCCAAAAAATAGACAGCTCCGAGAAGACCTCGTCGTAGATAAATACAATGAAGGCTACTTTACTGTCCAAAAAAGATGGCGGTTCAGTGAATAGCTCAGATAGATCAGATCTCGCTGGATTTGTTCTTCGTACACAAACAGGCGCTCCTCCAGATGCTCAATGTGAGTCACTTTTTTTTGTAAATTTCAACACGAAATAAGAGAGAAAATACAACAGTTGCGTTTGTTTATTTTAACCTTCTCTTCTCGACGCGAGGTGGCGCCTTGTTTCATAGAAGTCGTCCAGACGTGTTCTGTTTCTCGGACAGCATGGGCACGATGCTGTCTTCCAAGCTGTCTGCGCAGATTGGCTACGTGCTCTCTAAGAATTGGAACACAGCCCTACTTTTTCTCTCGCCCATTGGAGTTAACGCTTAGCACGCTGGACAAATCGGAGCACGTATTCTAGAAACGAACTGGAAGAGAAAGATGAAAATGAAGACAGCACGTGCTGGTTCACGATGGTGATAATTTTTGCTCGCAACTAACCGAGTTTGTCCTGGGTTAAACAGCCAGGCTGTTGAAAAAAACCCATAAATATACACTTCAGCTTCGATACTGTGAAGCAGGGGGATGTATGTAGCACTCGGTAGCGCAGTGTTTCTCGTTCGTAAAGCTCTCACTGCTTCGTTAACAAAACTGTCGATGACGTTAATGTTTGGCGTAAGCATGTAGAGCTTCTACAGACCAACTAGGATATTATTATGGAGAACCGGAAGCTCTGTGTGCAACAATCGGACTACGGTTTTATCCACTCTGTCAATTTCCTCCTTGTTATAACGGTTGAGATATGCTTCATCTGCGACGAGTTCAGCCAGGTTGTTTGCGTCTGCAGATGCAGCGACCAAGCGCTGGCGAAGTATAGGTGAGAAAGGCAACCATGTGCTCAGTGAGCTCTTGGCGCCCTCTCCATCATGATATATATATATATATATATATATATATATATATATATATATATATATATATATATATATATATATATATATATATATATATATATATATATATATATATATATATTTATATATATATATATATATTCAATTTTTACTCCGTCATGCCACGCGATGACAGCATACGTCCGCATACGCAGTCCGAGCCACCAACTAAAGTGCTTTGAATTAAATATCATCATAGAAACGCTCCAAGAACAAGAAGTAGGTTGCTTTTCCTTGGCGCGAGGGCGCGCTAAAGGCGGCTATGCTATATGTTTCTTTGCTTAGGTTACACCAAGCAATGACGACAGCATATGACAGCCAGGACGTCTAAGGTTCTCTGCCATAAAACGAAAAGCAGTGAGGTTAACCTGGTATTATTAATCGCTCTGCTACTCTCCACGTAGATAAAGAAACAGTGGCTGTAGAGAAAGCCTGCGCGTGACCAGGCAGAGGAATAAATAATGCTGCTGGTTTCCTCGCGCACCTCAAGCACTAATGTGAATCTCGTCGAACTTTTTAAGATTGCATTGAAATTGCAATTTCTACCTTAATTTTACTATCAAGTAGGTGATCGGTGGAATACTTTTTCGCTTATTCCAACAAGGCGACACCCCTCTTGTAATAAAAAACGGCCGTTTACTTCATCAAACATAAAACACAACGACGGAGTCATCAGATGCCTAACAGAAAATGCATAAAAGTGAAAAAGACACAGCTAACGAGGCGAGGTTAATAAGGTTCCTTGTGGTTTGTATATCTCACTAGCAGCAAACATACGGCCCATTATGTAAAAAGCCCAATGTCACAGTGATATACGGCTCTCTCCCAGCTTGGCGTTGGCAGAAACAAAGCTACGTTAGCGAAATAAATTTGAGTGCGTATTGTTTTTTTTTTGTAAATAGTTGTATATTATTCCGCACAACGCCAAGCATTGGCCAATCGTGGCTAAGAAGGGGACCACGATACGTACGAGCAAGTTACGAGAGGCACACAGAAGGCAAACAGAAAATAATCGTCAATCAATATAGCCACACGGGGGCTATGCGTGTGCCCTTGTGGTCCCGGTACTTTTTATGTTCCGGATAATTTTTTAGGATTGCTACCTTCAGTGCCTCCATGGCCCTTTTACAAAAATCCAGTTCATTAAACTTCTCTGACATTGCGGAAAACACCAGACCAACACTCACTGAGTGGGAAGCGAGAGTTAGCCACTACGCTTAAGGTTGATTTCCTAGTTACTCATTTAAGCACCATGATTTCTAGATATGCATTGTATTGAGCTTTTATGACAGAACATTTACACGCTTGTACGATTCTCTAAAAAGGCTTCCCGAGGCAGCAAAACGGAAGCCTCAACTTTCTACAAGTGTGTCCGCAGTGTTTTCACAGGGCTGACATTTTTTCGACTTTAGCACACAGTGAATGTAGTTGTTTTGTTGTAAGTTTACCAGATCTGATAGGGTCGAGAGTGCTGCCACTGCGAATGCCACAGCGGCACCATTCTCTGCTTCATACTAGAAGAATTGGAAGGATGCATGTACTCACCCTATGACTGGTCCGGGTGCCGTTGACCGTGATATTTGTCTTCCCCGCTCGGATGGTGTACTCTATGGGGACCGCTGGTGCGCCTCCTCCTGCTGCTGCAGTCGGCGGTGGTCTGCTTCCCACCACCGCGGGCGACCACGGCTCAGAGTTGAAACTTGGTTGCGCCGTCGCTGTCACCTCGGCCACCGAAGTCATCGGGACCCCATCCTGGCCAGCATACGACGTCGACGCTGTTCCGCCGTCTTCCGAAGAAGGTGCCTCCATCTCAGCCGAGGGGACACCAATATCACGACCGGAGTCGAAGAAGACGTCTCCGCAGTCAGGTCCACCTGGGCATTGAGAGGGTTCCGTTGGCAGCCCAGCAAAGACTGAGTAGTCTAGTGAAATGTCATCCTCTTGCGCGTTGGCAGGTTGCACCAAGCTCGATAGGATCAGGCATGCCAGTGTCGCTGCAACCAGAAATCTTGCGCAGCCTCCATATTGAGAACGTGGCACGGGCCGAACACTAGCCAATTCGTTCGAGTTCATGGTGCGGCACTGAAGCGGTGTTGGCTATGGCGGGTGTCGCACGATGAGCACGCTTTACTTGCTGCCTGCAAGACACAGTGAGCAAGATGCATGTTTGGGCTTGTCAATTACTTTACGCGACATACGTGTATTGGCAGCTAAAAAGTACGTAATAATGAAGGAGAGGAATGCACACTGCGCAATAATGACGACATGTGGGCCCCTTGACATTTTCTTTGGGGAAGCCTGTACGCCTACCTCACGCGTATGTGTGTTTTGCTCACACACCATATCTCCAAATCAAGCCAAATAACTAGATTATTAGAGTTAGTTATATACCCATAGACGTTCGGAGGCCAACGCGTATGTTGACCAAATGGCGATTGTACCAACACAAGTTACCATGTTGCTCTACCTAATATTTGTACAAGTATTGTTCAGCGAAAATAAATTTGTCTCAAAAATAGGAAAAGAAAAAGATTGAAGCTGGGGCACGAGCCATACTTGATTGCCTCTGCTTAGATGTAGTTCATCAAACGTTTGTTCCACAATATACCGAACCTAAAAAATCATGCTATTTTATAGCTGAAAAATAGCTGAAAAAATGTACCACTGGTTATAAACATATTTTATGTAAATTTAAATATGATGGCCAGCCCTACTTCAATTCAGTAAAGAATAAAAACTTTACAGAAAATTAAATAGGTTCAGCATATATTTAGGGAAGGAAGTGACAGCTGCATTCCGGTTTAGTAAACACTTAATTGTCTCACCAGCTCAATGCCACTCCTTACGAAACTCTCCAGCGTTTAAACTGTGCTGTTAGTAAGGTTACATGAGCTCATTTCAAAAAGCTGCTCATGCGAATAACATCACTTGGACAAAGATAGACAGGCCGGGTTTTTCGTAAGCTGTAATATATTTATGGGTGTTACAGTGAAATGAAGCATATTTTACATAGTCCTGAGTTGATACGCATGTAGATGGCTTTCGCCATTGTGACACGTAGTTGATGTAAATCAACATGGTGGAATACTATGCATAGGCTCGCATTCACAAAAGTGGCTTATGGCAAGAAGTATTGGTAAGAAATAATTTTAGTCAATACTGATGGAGCCATGCCCCACAAGAATTCCTCGGTATTATCAGGAATCCGGAATTCCATGGCATGGCCGCTGGAAAATGCATTTTGTTGCGGCAAGAAAGAACAGAGCTATGATCAAACCATTTCTTTTTATGGCAGAATAGAATATGTTTACAAGTGTTTTCCCGAAAAGCGCAACAAATGTCTCCGGGGCTCTACATTTAGCTTCCTTGGTGTCGTCGGCTTTGCTCCTCGGATGAAGATAGAAAAAAACTAGTAGACTGAAAGCACGCAAAACTAGAAGAGGGGAGCCTCGCTTAAAGGGCTTCGCTTTTCTTTTGCAATTTAGTTCCTGATGGCACACGAAGGTGTTAGATCGTCAGGAAAAAAGTAAATTGTCTTTGTGTTCTCACGAAGTGCACAACAGAAGCGTGTCTTATGAATTCTGTCGCAATATTAAAATCAGTATCTGTGACCGCAATGTATCGTGCATCATAGGCTAGAAGTTCAGGCATCGTTGGATTTTTCCAAAGTACAGAGCACTCGAATGCATTTTGGCGTTTTCTCGATGCACTGTTTTCAGCTCGAAATAAGCCTTCATCGCAATCACGAAGTGCGTAAACACTTCTTCAATGTTTGTTATACCCCAGCCTTCTAACAGAAAGAACAACTTCCCCAATCTAGCAACGGTATAGTTGCGACTTCAACGCGACTCAGAGTACGTGTCTGAAAGTTCATTATTTTCATAACAACTTCGGTAATGACCATGTCTATCAGAGTAACGCATTGGAACTAACTTACGAATGCGCAGGGCTCTTCTTCAGAAGGAAGGGGGGGGAAAGCTTGTCGGAGTGCTCCGCTCCCTATTAAGTCATTGTATGAAGCGATTGGTAGTGATGGTGTTGTAGTTAGGGCATCCGCCTGAGGTGCAAGAGGTACGTGGTTCGAATCCCGGTGCCGTGCAGTTCCCTGCCGTATAAAAAAACCCGCGTGGTGATGAAACTGCTTTAAGGGGACAGGGGTGTGGCCTCACCGGTGACCACCGCCGGTAACGCACTCCCTCACCAGACAAGGATTGCCCACCCTGGTGCATACGTAAATAAACTCACGGCCCTGACTCCCCAGCGGCTGCGAAGCAAGTGACCACGGCGGCCGTGAGATCTGCCACGTAGCAGAAGGTGCTAATAATCTCTGCGGGTCTGGACAGGCCACCATTGGAACATGAACTTGGCAACATTTAACGCTAGTACCTTATCTAGTGAAGCACGTCTAGCTGTACAATTACAGGAGCTAGAGGGAGTTAAATGGGATGTAGTAAGGCTCATTGAGGTTTGGAAGACAGATGGGGCATTTACAGTGCTACAGAATGGGCATGTCCTTTGCTATCGTGGGCTGGCTTACAGAAGAGAACTGGGCGTGAAGTTCCTTATTCACAGAATTATAGCTGGCAACATACAGAAAAACAATAGAAATAATGGAAGGGTGATAGGTATCATAATTAAAGTCAATAACAGGTAAAAGATGAAGGTGGTACAGGCTTACGCGCCTACATCCAGCCATGAGGAGGCGTCAGTTGAAAGCTTCTATGAAGACGTGGAATGGGCAATGAATAAGATAAAACACATTATACTATACTGATGGACGACTTCAATGTCAAGGTAGGGAAGAAGTAAGCTGGAGAACAGGCAGTAGGAGTTTATGGCATTGCTATTAGAGATGCCAGAGGGGAGCTATTAGTGGAATCCACATAACGTAATAATATGTGGATCTTGAATACTTTTTACCGAAAACTAGAGAACTAAAAGTGGACATCGAGGAGCCCTAATGGCAAAAGTAAGAACGAAATGGACTTTATACTGAGTGCACAACCAGGCATTGTTTAGGAGTTGGAAGTGCTTGGCAAAGTAAGATGCAGTGATCAAACAATGGTACGGTCTTGAATTCGGCTAGACGTAAAAGAACGACATAAACTGATACGCAAGAAGCCAATCAATGAGCTAGCACTGAAAGGTAAAGTACAAGAATTCACAGTCTCGCTTCAGAACAGGTACTTGGCTCTTATTGAGGAAACCAGCCTTAGCGCTGACGCAATTATTGATAATCTGACGAGTGCCATTACGGAGTGTGCAGTGGAAGTTGGAGGTACAGTACTTAGACAGCAAACAGGTAAGCTGCTCTAGGAGACGAAGAACCTCATTAAGAAGCGTGCAAGCATGAAAGCCTCAAATACAATAGACAAAACACAACTGGCAGAGCTTAAGAACTTGAATAAGAGGCGTAAGGTATCCGATGTAAGAAGGTATAATATAGAGAAAATTGAACACACTCTGAAGAATGGAGGCAGCGTAAAAGCAGTGAAAACGAAACTTAGGATAGGCAACAACCAGATGTATGCGCTAAGGGACAAGGAAGGCAAAGTTACTACCAGTATGAATAGGATACCTAAATTGGAGGAGGCATTTAACAAAGCTCTCTACAGTAGCCGGCACAACCACGACTTTAATATAAGAACTAGCAGTATACGAGATGGCTTCCCACCAGTAATGATAGAAGAAGTCAGAAAGGCCTTAGAGGGAATGCAAAGAGGCAAAACTGCTGATGAGGACCAGATAACATCAGCTCAGCTGACAGACGGATTGTGCAAGAAAAGCTAGCCACCCTGTTTACGCAGTGTCTCCTGATGGGAAGAGTACCACAAGCTAATATTATCCAAATACACAAGGAAGGAGATGAAAAGGACTTGAAGAATTACTTGCCGATCAGCTTGCTCTCCGTCGTTTACAAGCTATTTACAAAGGTAATTGCTAATAGAAATAAGACAACACGAGAATTTATTTAACCGAAGGAAAAAACAGGATTCCTAACAGGCTACTCAACAGTCGACCACATTCAAACTATCAATCAGGTAGTAGAAAAATGCTCAGAATAGAACCAACCACTATACATAGCTTCATAGATTACGAGAAGGCGTTTGATTCAGCAGAAATATCAAAAGTCATGCAGACAATAAGGATTCAGGGCATCGACGAAGCACATATAAACATCCTGGAAGAAATACACACATTATCAACTGCCACCATAGTGCTCCCAAAGCAAAGCAACAAATTACCAATGAAGAAGGGTGTATGGCAGGGGGATACACTTTTGCCAATGCTATTTACCGCGTGCTTACAAGAGGTTGTCAGAGGCCTATAGTGGGAAGAGCTATCAATAAGAATTCATGGAGAGTACCTTAGCATCCTGCGCTTCGTCGACGGCATTGCATTGTTGAGTAACTCAGGGGACGAAATGCAACTCATGATTAGGGAGTTAGACATGGAAAGCCGAAAGGCGGGTCTTAAAATTAATCTTCTGAAAACGAATGTAATGTACAACAACCTCCTTAGAGAGCAGCGCTTCGAGGTAGTTAATAGTGCACTTCAAGTTGTAAAAGACTATGTCTACCTAGGGCCGGTAATAACCGTGGAGCCGAATCCCGAGATTGAAGTAACTAGAAGAATAAGAATGGGGTGGAGCACATTTGGCAAGCACTCTCAAATTATGACAGGTAGATTGCCACTATCCCTCAAAAGGAAGGTATATAAGAGCTGTATCTTGCCGATATTTAGCTACCGAGCAGAAACCTGGAGATTTACAAAGAGGGTTCAGCTTAAATTGAGGACGACGCAGGGTGTAATGGAAAGAAAAATGGTAGGTGTAACCTTAAGAGACAAGAAGACAGCAGAGTGAATTAGGGAACAAACGGATGTTAAGGATATTATAGTTGAATTCAAGAAGAGAAAATGGACATGGGCCAGGCATGTAGCGCGTAGGCTTGATGACCGCTGGTCATTCAGGGTAACTGACTGGGTTCCCGGAGAAGGAAAGTGAGTTAGGTGGGCAGATGAGATTAGGAAGTTTGCGGGTATAAAGTGGCAGCAGCAAAGACAGGACTGAGTTGACTGGCGAATCTTGGCAGATCCCTTTGTCCTGCTGTGGACCAAGT